TAATGAAGGGATTTAATTTTTTTTATTTAGGCGATTATATATAAATATATATTATATATATTTTTCCACTCTTTTTTTTTTCTCAGGATTTGGTAGTTAAATGTGTAACATTTGCAACACCCGTGTGATACGACGTGTCGGGCTCCTCAGACTTTATCCGATAGTTTAGCAGATTTTACATTATGCATATTATCTGATCTCCGTGTATCTTGGCCCGCCTCCTCCCTTTTTGGGCGACGGGCCCGTGTATTCCTCACGTATAACGCTAACATTTCACACGCCGCGGGATAGAAAGACGAAATTTCCCCCCGGATGAGATTCACCCCTTTCCATCACGCGTGCAGACAATTATCGCTCGGTCGCACCCTTCACTCACAATGGCGTGGTCCGGTGCGAAAAAAAAAAAAAGTGACGTTGACTACTAGTTTTCCCGCGCGCTGTATTCTTGTACCGCCGCTCGGACGCGACGCACGGGGGGGGAAGCCTTGCAGAGGTGCTAAGATCCTGACAAACCAATGCAATCCTACGCCGGGTACATCAGCCACTCTGACCACCTACACTACTCGGAGGTCTTGCACATACAACTGACAGCGAAGGGTTCGTGCGCAGAAGGCGGGGCTTGTGTTTGCAGGAGGTGCAGCAGTGACGCTCTGATGTTTGTGCCCGATGGGTGATTCGTGTGCGCATTTTATTATAGCAATGATTGGAGGCCTTATTTTTTTAATCCTGCAGCACCAGGGAAATAATATACAAGCGGCCAGCGGCTGACGTGTGCTTCAACCTCAAAAGTCATTAAATTGCCATTCAGTGCGCGTCATTACCTGACATTTGTCTTTATATTGAGAAGATAAAAGTTGAAATCAGGCTTGCAGCAGGGGTGACTGCTTTGTAAGTTAATGGGGGGCGGGGGATGTGCTTACTAGAGCTTAGAGGAGTTATGGAACTCAGAGAGGGCGTTAGCAGAGTCATGGTGTTCTTCAGCTGAGGTGGTGCAGTGGCACCGTGACTGCAAAATACCAGATGATTAGAACATCTGGTAAATATATTTCAGCTTTGTGTTCTGCTGTTTGGCTGCAGCTCACTTAGTAAAACATGACCCATGATCCATTCATTCAGCAGTAGAAAGCCTCATAGCTGCTCCCTCTTGTGGCTAACGCTGTGTACTGCGAGACAGTGAGGAGCCCACCAGAAAGTAATATCTATCTATAAAATCCCCATCCCTTTTATTTGAATTGCCCCCCATGAACCGGCACTTTTATTGTACCTTAAATTTTCTCCAATTGTTTTTTTCTTTTTTAAATTTCCAGTAGGTGGCCATTGGACTGGACTCTTTCCCCGAGGTGGTGCTAGTCCCAGATTGGCATGTCACTGTAGTTGCTTGGAGAGATGTGTTCTGCCCCATAACTGGCACTGCTTCCTCTCCCAGCATTGGGTAGAATAGGTAACAGCTGTGCTGAGAGGTCCCTTTTAATTGCTCCCCCTCATTTCCCAGCTTACAGGGCACCTGTCAGGACAGCAAATAACGATGTAGCCAGCAGGCGTCGTGCCCCTCTGTGCAGAGTTTTGGTAGCAACTGTTCCTCCGCACTGTGACTTCTCCACCCTCAGAGGCTTCTGTGTGTTATACCATTAGGACAGGGGCCCTTTAAATTCTATCTCTCCCCAGAACTAATATCTCAGTCTTGCGTGGTTGCTGGCAAGTTGACTCCCACGCTGGCTTCTTGTGGTTTCAGTGGTGGGATCTCAGCACCAGAATTCCTTCCCCTGTATTCCCATCTGTTGCAGCAATTACAAAGTCAGATGATGGTGTCACCCTCCCAGGACGGATTCTCTATAATATCGGATAAATAACTGCAAAACCTCAGCCATGATAGTGACACGTTGCAGTGGGGGGAGGGGGGCGGGTGTGTAGACTAAAATGAAGTGTACATAGCATGAAACTTATTGGTGTCCATCCAAAAGTGAAATATGAGCTGAGGGTGGGGTGAGGTTACGAGTGCCAGTGATAGATGAACTTCCCAGCAGCAGTCAAATACCAGCACAAATATTAATAATAGCGTGCGTTCCCGGAGCGTAAATATCTCTGCCACTGACGTAGGGGAGTTTGGTTTTCCACTCCCCCCCCCCCCTTTTTTTACATTGGTTACCTAATGAGCCAAAATATTGGATCCCTCGTCCATCCGACCGCCGAAGTTCAGATTTTTATGGCACTTTGTTTTGTGGTGGGAGGGGGGATGTGGCTCCAGGATCTGTATTCTGCAATGTTGGACTTTTGCACACAAAGAAAATAAACATTATCTCCAAATGGGAAGTGAATATTAAATTCCTTCAGAATACAACACAAAGTGACTTAATATCGATAATATAAAGTCACCGTTCACATTTGTAACATTCATGAAGGAAGATCGCGACATTGTATCCGCACTTCATTCAGGTAGATCCAGGGATCTTCAATAGAAACAGATTTCTTTCTACAATATTATATACATTACTCTTCTACATTATGAAGGGAGTTTATCAAAACTGAAGCAGACAAAAACTAAAGCAGGTGTGCATGGCAGCCAATCAGCTTCTCTGTTTCATTTTCAAATCTTAACTGAACAAGCTGAGAAGCTGATTGGTTGGCCTGGGCAATGGCTTCAGATTTTGTCTGCTCGTTTTCATATGAAGGAAAATCACTACATTGTATCCGGACTTCATTCAGGGCTCAACTGGGATCTTAAATATAAACAGATTTATTTTTTTCAATATTAAAACAAACTTTATTCATATGAAGACATAAACGTGTAACATTTCAGGGAAGTTCACAAATGATTCCACCTCGAGTGTAGCAGAAGATGAATTTTAATGTTGGTTTCAATATTGCTGGAATAAATCTTTTTATTGAAGATCCCGGAAAGAAGTCCGGATACAATGTAGCGATCTTCCTTCATAACTTGTGATTGCTGGAAGTGTTGTTTATAATATTGTATAACGAAATGTTTCTATTGAAGATCTCGGCTGATCCCTGAATCTATCTGAATGAAGTCCGGATACAATGAAGCGATCTTCCTTCGTGACTCGTCATTGCCGGAAAGCTGCAAATGTATTCGGTGATTTGTCACTTTTGGGTTTTTCCAAATATTTCCAGATTCTCGTTATTTGCCTCACTCGTATTAAAGGACAAGAAGCGCTCGTATTGCCCAGTAAGGGCGGGACAGAGTTGGAGTCTTCACTTTCCCCGACACCTCACAGCTTCCTGTTCATCATTCTGAGCCGCTCAGCTTCCCCTTCGGAAGACGTGGCGTTTCTAATGGCAGGAATTCAATATTTGGTTTACACATTGTTGTGGCTCAGCAGTTGATGTTCCTTCAAAGACAAAATTAAACCGACCTTTAGATACTTTAATGGACAAAAAGATGACATTATTGGCCTGTAACAGCATTCAGTATCGGTAAAATGTAAGTTCCATCTTTTATTATTGAAAAGCTCCAATCAGTGACTTTACTTAGGCTGCGATGATGTCGTCTGTCTACTGCAGGCAGGGGGAAGCATCTTCAGTCTCCCCTCCCCCCAGTGATCAGTCAGCTGCAGGCAGGAGGATGCATTTCCTCAGTCTCCCCTCCCCCAGCGATCAGACTGCTGCAGGTAGGAGGATGCATCTCCTCAGTCTCCCCTCCCCCAGTGATCAGACTGCTGCAGGCAGGAGGAAGCATTTCCTCAGTCTCCCCTCCCCCAGCGATCAGACTGCTGCAGGTAGGAGGATGCATCTCCTCAGTCTCCCCTCCCCCAGTGATCAGACTGCTACAGGCAGGAGGAAGCATTTCCTCAGTCTCCCCTCCCCCAGCGATCAGACTGCTGCAGGTAGGAGGATGCATCTCCTCAGTCTCCCCTCCCCCAGTGATCAGACTGCTACAGGCAGGAGGAAGCATTTCCTCAGTCTCCCCTCCCCCAGCGATCAGACTGCTGCAGGTAGGAGGATGCATCTCCTCAGTCTCCCCTCCCCCAGTGATCAGACTGCTACAGGCAGGAGGAAGCATTTCCTCAGTCTCCCCTCCCCCAGCGATCAGACTGCTGCAGGTAGGAGGATGCATCTCCTCAGTCTCCCCTCCCCCAGTGATCAGACTGCTACAGGCAGGAGGAAGCATTTCCTCAGTCTCCCCTCCCCCAGCGATCAGACTGCTGCAGGTAGGAGGATGCATCTCCTCAGTCTCCCCTCCCCCAGTGATCAGACTGCTACAGGCAGGAGGAAGCATTTCCTCAGTCTCCCCTCCCCCAGCGATCAGACTGCTGCAGGTAGGAGGATGCATCTCCTCAGTCTCCCCTCCCCCAGTGATCAGACTGCTACAGGCAGGAGGAAGCATTTCCTCAGTCTCCCCTCCCCCAGCGATCAGACTGCTGCAGGTAGGAGGATGCATCTCCTCAGTCTCCCCTCCCCCAGTGATCAGACTGCTACAGGCAGGAGGAAGCATTTCCTCAGTCTCCCCTCCCCCAGCGATCAGACTGCTGCAG